GGTGTAAAAAGCCTGCATATATCGGTATCGGGTGATATCGGTATCGGAAATTGAGAGTTGGACAATATCGGAATATCGGATATCGGCAGAAAAGCCAATATCGGACATCCCTAATGTCGGTCATACTGATGTTGTGGCTACAATAGGGCATTTGCACGATTTGTGCTCGGGCCCTAATAAATCTCATCCATCCCTTGTGCCTCGACTACCACAGTGACTTTACAAGGTAATGGGCTTCCCCCAAGTCAACCAACTTTGCCTCCTACACAAAGGGTCTGTTGTTTGGATTCAGGAGTTCCTGATAATGTTCCTTCCACTACTAAACGATATCACCGTCAATGTCAGCAGTTCACATGCCTGGCTTAAAACAGCGTGGGCCTCACTGAGTCGTTTGAGGGTTTTCCACGACCTTTTGAGGTCAACAGTCCTTGGACAACCCTTAAACTACTGATACATCAGTTTTTACTTCTCCAAGCACAGAAGCTGCAGTCCTTCTGTTCCTTCAGAATCTTGGTTAGTGCAGAACGTTTCGCTTTTGTTAATGTGAGTGATTCTTCAGCATTCCTGTAAGTCATTAGCAGTTTTTTAATTTTTCTGAACAAATAAATAACGTGAGGATGGGTTGAATTTCTGTTCATTCATGTGGTGCCACTGCTTAAATTCCTGGATGGACTGATGTATGAAGTGAGATTTACTCCTCTTATATTCTATTTACTTTTTGTAGATATAATAATTTGTGTTAAATCATGAGATATCACATGCATTTACAAAATATATGATATGATCTTTAGAATTTTCTTTAATGTGAGTAACTCAACACTATTTCTTACCAAGACACTTTCAGGCTTGTTCCCAACACAGTGATAATCCAGATGAGGGGGACACTTTTTTTAAAGTTGGAAAACAATAATGAGAGCATTTTACCTTTTATTCTTAATATGTTAACAAGTAAATCTATAGATTAGGATTATAAAAATGACTAAGGATATGGTGTACAGTAAATGCACATAATATTGCTTCTAGTCTAGACGCTATACACAGTATAATGCATGCCTACTACACAACTACAACCAAATCATGATTTAAAATACAATACTGGGGTAAAAAGAAGTCAAAACATAAACTCATACAAAAGGAAGGTTATTTAAAATAAGATTTTTCACATAAGCAAAACAGTCAAGAAGGACATATAGAACACAGCTCAGCCAATAAACAGAGAGAAGAAGGGAGGAAGGAAGGAGAAAAGGATCAAATTTCAAAACCTTCCACTTGCAGAGCAGCATGGCCAAAAACAGCCACTGTAAAGTGTAAAGTGCAAAGAGTAGGTATAGACCAAATAGAAAGAATGAAAAGGTGACAGATACGAAATAAGCAGGGCTGCAACTACTGATAATACTATAACAGTTAGATAAATTATGTGCTGATGTGCTACGGCAAGTGTATTGTGTCATTTCCAGTTGCAGACTGCTCCTGTGTACAGTGTTTGCTGTTCTTATGCTCTACACTAAAATTATTACATTCCTCATTACAGCGGTCATTTACCTGTTAGATGTAACATTTAAATGTAGACTAGTTCTGCTTAAGCACTTGCTTAAAAAAATTTGCAGAATTACTTACTTAATTGTTTACAAACTAGCTACAGTAACATTAGCTTTGCCATGGCTTCTCTCTCTCCCTCTGCTGCTCTGTCCTGCTCAGTGTGCCAGATGTTTAGTTACTCCTCTGCCTCCTTTAGCGATAATGGCACTTGAAGTGTAGTTTATTTGCTGTGTTGGAGGCAAGGCTCAGTGCATTGGAAAAGTGGCACCGCACCAGTGAAAAATCTTTAGCTGCCATTTTTAGCCAGCCACCAGCCAGCTAAATTACAAGCATGCCTTAAAGACATAAAAACTTTAATGACCAGCAATTTTCTGATGTTAAACTCACACACAACTGAAGTTCTTGTAGTGTACGCCCCAAACACTTCCGAAACTAATTATGTAAAGATATTGTTACTCTAGATGGTATGACCCTGGCTTCCAGCACCACCATAAGGAATCTTGGAGTTATCTTTGATCAGGATATGTCCTTTAACTCCCACATACAGCAAACTTCTAGGACTGCTTTTTTTTACTTACATAATGTTGCAAAAATCCAGCATATGAGAAAAACGAGTCCTACATTTGCTCCTCTGTATATTACTGCAATTCCTTATTATCAGGGTGCCCCACTACAATGTAAAATTCAGAATAGAAGTTATTCATGGTCAGGCACCTTCATATCTTAAAAAGCTCATAGTACCCTATTACCCGACTAGAGCACTGCACTCTCAGAATTTAGGGCTACTTGTGCTTCCTATTCATACTTTGCAGTCACGTGATT